TAAAGCTAACGATAAGTCGATCTGTAGGGTAGGTGTATGTACCTACCCAAGGTGTACCTACCTACAGTCGACTGATAAACGACATGACTTTTCCTTAGGTACAATGTCAAATGCCAAACTGTTCATTCGACGAGTCTCAACGTCAACTAGAGGAACACGATGATGCCGCTAAAATCAGAGCCGTATCGAGTATCGACTTTATTGAGTCAAAAGTTATTGCAGAACAGGATCTGTCGTAAAAACTGGAATTTGAAGAGTTTTTGCTCTCTGGAAGCTAAACTGTTGGCCCTAGGTCAAATCTGAGAGCTTTCTCCAGAAAGACCTTTAAAAGAGCTGTCGAATGAACTTTTCTGCGGTGTTGTAGTTCTGTGCACTGTGGGTCCCCGAGTCACAATCTATTTGGTTCCAGAGTTAAAAATTACTTTACGCTTCTTCCTACGTAGAAAGAAAATGAAGATCTTGTTTACAAATGTAACGCAGCACAGACATGAAAAGTCGATATGGTAGCAATGTTTATTCAAGAAAGGTGTTCAATAGGAATGCTAGTGGCAGAACATTGGCGAAGTTTGCTTTAGGTCGCCGCAAGTTTCCTAGCAATATCATACGAGCCTGCACATACTTTTGTTAGAGAACAGAGCAAAAGTTATTTTGTCGATAACTTATGCGGGTCGGCGGCCGAAGTTGTACACCGTTTAGGTATTTTGATACAGGTATTCCTAATTTGAATTATACTATCCCTTTTTGCAGCCCTTGTGTTCTTGTTTCCAAGACTGTTGCCTGGCTCACATTGTATATAAATCAAGGCCCTATATGCTTAGCATAGGTGGCGGAACGGGGAGGGCACCGGCGCCACGCCACCGGGGCACCGTGCCCCCCTTTGATTTTGGCATTTTAACATTAGCCCTATGGGCGTTGCATGGAAAGAATGGGACCAAAAGTCGGCAGTGCCCCCCCCCCCTTAATTGAAGGTGTTCCGCTGCTGCTGATACTTAGTGGTGGACACTCGTAACGACCGCGACTTTGATAACGATAATTCGATAACGATAATTTATAATCCAATCGGTCACTTTGATAATGCCATAATGATAACGATAACTTCAAAAAGGAAAAGAAATCAAAAGGATAAAATATTTGAATGTAATGAGCTTCTAAATAATATTTGAATCCTTAAATATTCCTTCAATAAGGAAAACATTCATCAAAAAATTTGAATATCTATGGCGACAGAGCTTGTCGGGCTAAAAGATGTTCCAACTAGCATTTTTCAGTGTTCAATCTACAAAACTGCCTTCTCAGCTCAAAACCCCATGTTAAGGTGAACTACCTATTCCTTAAATACGCTCCCGTGGCATTTGATGCAGTTATTGTTACCGATTGACTGAAACGGGGACTTTGATAACGGATAATCAATTATGATAAACTTGAAAAAAAAAACTTGTTATTGTTGACAACGACTTTGCTAATCGTTATTGATGAGAGTTATCAAAGTGCCCACCGGCCACCACTGATAAATAGCACAATTCTAGGTTTTGTCACTTGTCAACTGTAGTAAGAGTGCAGAGTGGTGTACCTACCTTTTTTTGAATACAGTTAATTTGGTAGTACACCTTTTTGAGTTAGCTTTTGACCATTGGGTATTTGTATATTGGGTATTTGATTATATTGGGTCAAATATTATATTGGGTATTTGACATTTGTACACATTCGCCATATAGGTGGCGCTACAAATGGGCGGTTGGTCACAAAAAATCACCATTGGGCAAAACTATTCGGCGATCTTCCTCTACAACTCGACATTGAACGAATGGTTCAAAATTGGGCAAAACAAATCGTCAATGGTCGAAAGTATTCGTCATATGCCGAGCTGGCTCCCTCTATGCCGAAGTCTGGCGAACTGTTAAACTGTTTTGCAGATCGCTCATTTCAGTGTTCAATCTGTTTTGCTGATTGGCTGAAATGAAACACACCACGCCGGAGTAGTTGTGCTCAATGCCGATTGTCGAAATGGCTCTTCAAACAGTTATGGCGAATGGTTGATTTAAAATGCAAAAAGGTGTAGTACTGAAGGGTAGTAGTAAAGCAGGCATCTCACACTTGTTTTTTTACAACCAAGGAGAGGCGCTGTCAGCATTGGAATTGTGGGCTCTTTCTGGTCCCTGCATTTTGTTTTCCTTTTATTCCCCTTTTATTCTAGGTTTGGTAGTGTAAAAGCAGGCTTCACACTTGTTTTTTGGTGCTATACCCAGAGTTCAGAGATGCTTTCTAATCAAACCAAACCAAACCTAACTAAACCTGACCTAACCTTACCTACAACCTACAGCCTAAAACCTACCACCTAAAACATACAACCTACAACCAAACCTACAGCATCTATCATTGATTGCAAAAAAAAAAAAAAACAAGTGTGACTCCTGCTTTACTACAGCACCTAGTCTAAAGCAGGCATCACACTTGCTTTTTACAACCAAGGAGAGGCGATATACCCAGAGATGCTTTCTAATTAAACCAAACCAAACCAAACCTAACCAAACCTGACCTAACCTTACCTTCAATCTACAACCTAAAACCTAGCACCTAAAATCTACAAGCTACAGGGTGTTTCATAAAAAATGTCCTGGTTTTGATTGCATTTTGGGGTGCCTTATTAATTGCAATCACGTGTTTTTTCACTGCAATCGAAAGCACGTGCACGGGAAATTTTCCTCACGCACCTTAGCTCACTTCTCACCACGGTCATAGAATACTTCTCACCATGAAGCATCTGAGTAAGGAAGAAAAAACAAAACTGGTTCAGTTTTACTGGTCGTCACGTTCTATCATTCTAACACAGCGACAGTTTAGGGCTCACTTCAAAACCCGATTCACACCGTGCCCGAAAACAATCCTGCGTTTGCAAGAAAAGTTCCTAAGAGATGGGTCTATCCTCAATTGCTACAAAGGGAAAAGTGGACGGCCAACGACACAAAGGACCCCCGAAAACATCGCCAAGGTGAAGTCCGTAGTCAATGGGGACCCCAAGAACACTGGCGGTCCCAGGGGGGGGGGGGGGCCACGGGGGCCATGGCCCCCCCTTTGGTGCTGAAAGGTGGGGCCATACTATCTTTTGGCCCCACCTTTCAGATCGAACAAAAGTCCTAGAAAAGCTTTTCGTATGTTTCATTTTCTTTCTTGCGCCATCAAAGGACGTAAATTTCACTCATGAGTGGGCTCAGTTTCGCATTCTGTCAATTTGGCGGTCAGCGTCGCTGGCACCGGTTCACGAGTATGGCCGGATCTTATATGGAATATCAGCGTGGGTTTACTTGAGGCTCTCGTAGGCCCAGCAATGGCTGGCATGAGACCCTCTTCGGCAGTGGTGGGTGGGCCCTGCTAAAGGAGATTGGCTCTAAGACACTAAAGTAAGACCTCATGGGTTGGTGCTGTGCACCTCAGAAGCCCGGTGGTGACGCCGTATGCCGGCTTGGTTTCTTAAGGATTAGCGTGGGAACTCCGGGGCCTGCATAGAGTTTGCATGAGCTAGTATGTAATCTCAGAGGCATGTGTGTAATGTGTACACAGTGGCGGTCGCGGGGGGGGGGGGGGGCATCAGGGCCATGCCCCCCAAAGGTCAATAAAGAGGGCCATCATATCATTTGTCCCTCCCCTCAAACAACCAATGGGCCCCCATATAGGTGTATGGGGCCCTGGCAATTATTCGATCGTCACGAGGCTAAAAAAAACCACGCCCAGCTATTAATATAGCTCCCACACCGGTCTTTGAGCGTCCTACACTGACCTCTGAGGGAACTTCAGTGGCGGTCAAGCGCCCACGTTGACCGCTAAGAGCCTACATCAACCTCTGAGACCCCACATCTGGCCTATGAGGGCCCCTAACCGGCCTCAGGGGTCCCAACCGGCGTCTGAGGGTCTCACACCGGTCTCTGGTGGCCTTATTTCTGTCTGTGGTGTCCCAAGACGAACCTTTAGGTGCCAATGAGGGCCCCGCACTGGCTGCTGAAGACCCGATGCCGGCCTCTAAGGGCCTGCATTGGCCTCTGAGGAGGGCCCATCTTGGCCTTTGAGGGCCCTCTGCTGGCCTCGGGGGTTCAACGACGGCTCATGCCGGTCTTTTAGGGCCCCACGCTGACCTCTGAGGGCCCATGTTGGCCTGTAATGACCCACATTAGCCTCTGAGAGCCCAACTCGGTCACTGATTGTCTCAAACTACTGGCCTTTGCAGTTTGCAGGCCCTGTACTGGTCTCTGAGGGCCCTAAACTGGCCTCTACGTGAAAACATACATGGGTGGGTTTCTGAAGATCAGAGGGCTCACGCAGTCTCCGGCACAGCCTTACGTTGGTCCTGATCGAGATTACTTTACGTCCTGATGGTCCCGCGCCGATTCCCTCATATTTCGACGTCGGGACCCCATGAGCCAGTGTGGGTCCTGGGGCTGGCAGAGACTGATGAAGTCCTTAGGGCTCAGGGCCAGTCTTTTTAGCAGTAAGACTAGGCAGGTTGAGTGAGCCCCAATAGAGCCGTTGCGAAGCCCCGCAGGAGTCGCGCGCGGCCCTCAGATGCCAATTTTGAAAGCTCGGAACCTGTGGGGGTCTCTAGAGGTCGGTGTACCTACTCTCTCCCGCCGCCACACAACTAGGTAATAGGTATGTTACCTATATGGGTAAATGTCGTAGTCTGAAAATGCTCTCTGGGTTTCACATGCTTGTTCAAAGCAAGAGGTATCTGTACATACTTTTCCGAATTGTTTTATAGTGGTAAGGTCATGAATCCGCGTGCCTGACCTTCCAGTATACCTATGCTACACCGATCCGCCGTCATGGTGCATGGGCCGACCGGTGGAAGCACCGTGGGACGGGAAATGGAACTGGTGATTTTGCCTTAAATTGAGCTTAAAGATTTCACGCAAGAATCAGATGGATGAAGCATAAGTAATGCCAACTGCGCGGCACCTCGTGGACGTAAAAAAATTAGCCGATCACCCCCCCCCCCTCCCGGTGACGGATAAATGTTATGTCCCGCGAGTGTGACTTTGGCCCCCCCTTTTGCTAGCGGCTGCGACCGCCAGTGCCCAAGAAGTCCATCAGGAAAATCGCCCAAGAAGTTGGCACAAGCCACTCAACGGTGCGGAGAATAATGAGAAAGGACCTCGAACTGTTCCCATATAAAGTGACAGTTCATCACAAGCTGTCGGAGAACGACAAACATCAGAGAGTGGCCTTCGTAAAGTGGCTCAAGGACCAGACTGCCGCTAATCCTGGCTTCTTGGATGGGGTCTGGTTTAGCGATGAGGCCCACTTCCACCTTACTGGACAGGTGAACACCCAGAACTGCCGTATGTGGGCCTCGGCACCACCCGAAACGTTGCTGGAAGTCCCACTGCACAGCCCGAGAGTGACTTGTGGTGCGCAATGAGCTCCACCGGAATAATCGGGCCATTCTTCTTCGAAGACGGCAACGGGTGCACTCAAACGGTGAACAAGGAACGCTATGTCCGCATCCTGGAACGCTTCTGGGCCACAGTGCAAGAAGGCTCGACTTCAGGTGGTGACGATATCTGGTTCCAACAGGACGGGGCCACCCCGCACACCTCGAAGATGGCCCTCCAGTGGCTCCAGGAGCGTCTCGGAGAGAGGATCATCAGCCGCGGAACGGACACTCCCTGGCCCCCTCACTCCACTGACCTGACACCCCTCGACTTTTACCTGTGGGGTTTTCTTAAGTCCAGAGTGTACAGCGGGAGCCCGGGGAGTCTCGGAGAGCTCAAGCGGGCGATCAGACGCCAGGTGCGTGCGATCACGCCCGCCACATGCGCCCGAGTTATCGGGCACGTGGCGAAACGGGCCGACGTATGTCTGCTCCGAAAAGGAGGACATCTCGAGAACGTGCTGTGAGCGGCGCTGAACGCATGATTCATGTTCGTGATATGTATGTAATAAATCTCCATTCCTTGTGGAATCGTTTGAACCATTGTGGCTGGATATGTGACTATTAGATTTTTCGTTATAAGCAAAACAAATCAGGACATTTTTTATGAAACACCCTGTACAACCTAACCTATAACACCTCTCCTCGGTTGCAAAAAACAAGTGTGATGCCTGCTTTACTACTATCTTAATTTCTGGGCAGGTTTCTCGCTGCTCCAATCCAACCACTTTCAAACTGGCTGCCACATTTTCAGACAGGCTCCAAAAGATGCTCCAGAGCTATTTGGAATTTTTCACATATTCTTCATCTCATGGACAGTGATCAAGATACTGTTTGTATCAGAAGCTTTTTCTTTCACAATATATTATAATTGAGTTATTATTGTAATTCTAGGTGCTTATGTAAGAGCTGTCAGCTATCGTACTTACCCAAAAGCTCATGCTTATTTTCATAACTATGGAAGAAGCGCATTTTTTGTCTGATCTTCAAACTTTTATCGTGTTGCCGAAAAGTGGTCAAATCCTAGCCATGAGTCATGTCAGCATATTTTTTCCTTGGAGTTGGAACCCATTAGGTATGACAATGCCTTGGTGTGTATTTTGCAATATTAGGACAATGTTCCTGCTTGTCACTGGATATGACATTTGAACGTAAGACCCAATTTGATTGATGATCATGCCGTGATCTCACTGCATTGGATGTGAATTTTCATAACGTGTAGTGCCCGAATGAATGTCTTTTTTTGACAGTGTCAAGACAAGAAAATGAAATCTCTCACATATGTTGAAGATGTATCCAAAGATCTATCTGGCTACACCCTTATTTCGGTAAGTGACAACTGAATTCAATGTATTGTTATGAGTTTAGGTACTCACTGATTGGATGTTGCTAAGTGTAGATAACTTATTTATCGTTGATCACTCATAACAGTGTCATCTCTGATAAAACTTTGTTACCTACCATTTTTGCTCGTTTGAACACATCTAATGTGCCAAAATATAGGTATTAATATGAACATGTTGTTACAAAGTATGTTAATTTGCCAATGGGTACTGGACGTGTGGCAAAAATGACAAATAGATGTTGTCATGAGATGCTGTTCTTACATGCTTGACAGTCCATGTGATCATGTTATAACTTTGTTACGACCTGCACACGCTCCCCGTCCTGACAGCGCCCCTAACCCTCCCGGCAGCCGTCTGTGAGCGTGGGTAACGTGGGCCAGCTGGCCGTCGACCTGCTGCTGCACAACCTGCGCTGCCAGCGGCTGGGCGCCTTCGGACACCCCAGTCTGCAGCAGGTGGTGGGCACCCTACCCGACTCGAACACCGACGGACAGACGCATCTCATGACTGCCATGGAAGGTGTGTGGGTGGGTGGGTGTTGGCTAGACACAGGCAGATGGCTTAGTGGTTGGTAGGTTGCTGACGGGATAGCTGAGGACTGCTGAATGACTGGTTTAGTTGATCCTCTAAGCACCAGCAAGTTACTATTCATGCTACAGCGGATGTTTAGATTCTTACAGGTTGATTGCAGATATTCTGAACCGTGAAATGTTTTGTGCAATCTGTCTGTCTGACTAAGCGAGCGAAGCAGTAGCGCCAGTGTCATCACGCATTTTCACCCATTTGAAACCAAGCCAATATTTACTGATCATATTCGCTTTCAGCTTACGTCTGTGAAAAGAAGAAACTGCTGGTCATTCAGATCCGTGCACCCATATCACCAGTAAGTAATCGTATTTGGTATCGAGTAGCACGTTTTCTTTTCTTTTTATTGGACAAACTAATGGACGGATATTGGACTTCAAACTAAGAATGGCTCATAGAGAATCTGTACTACTTTGGATTTTATCTCGTCATAGCTACGTGACTTTGAAGAAAGCGTGACACTTTATTGTTATGTTTGCCTTCAGCTAAGGATAGTTCTCCTTATCTCTTGTCTTGACTACCTGCCAATTTGTTCTGCACACCGATAACTCCCCGCCCCCGTGATGTCTGCAGAAGGGCCGTCTCTCTCTGCTGGCCGAGCTGGTGCAGTGGGCGGCCGAGCGCCGTCTGAAGCGGGTCCTCCAACTGGCCAGCTGCCACGCGGCCGCCCGGCCCGACCCGGCCGCGCCGCGACTCTGCCACGTCACCGTCGCCGGAGACGATGTCGACGCGCTGACGGCACTGGCGCCGCTGCAGCCGGAGATACCGCGGCCCGAGGGCGACGCGCACCGGCCGCCGCCGTACCTGCCCGGAGCCGGCTTCGTCCCGGACCTCTACCGAGCATGGTGAGTGGGGGAACGGGGATCTCTACCGCGCCTGGTGTGCGGGAGAACGGGGACCTCTACCGAGCCTGGTGAGTGGGGGAACGGGGACTCCTACCGATCCTGGGGAGTGGGGGAACGGGGACCCCTACCGAGCCTAGTGAGTGGGGGACGGGGACCTCTACCGAGCCTGGTGAGTCATAGGGAATATCGGACTTCTACCGCGCCTGGTGAGTAGAGTATCTCAGACCCCTATCGCTCGTGAGTGGAGGAACGGGGACCTCTACCGAGCCTGGTGGGTGGGGGAACGGGGACCTCTACCAAGCTTGGTGAGTTGTAGGGAATATCAGACTTCTCTGGCGCCTGGTGAGTGGGGAAACGAGGACCTCTACAGCGCCTGGAGAGTGGGGGAACGGGGACCTCTACCGTCACCGAGCATGGTGAGAGGGGAATACCGGACCTCTACCGCACCTGGTGAGTGCAGGGGGAACGGGGACCTCTACCGAGCCTGGAGAGTGGGAGGATGTCGGACCTCTACCGCGCTTGGTGGGTTGGGGAACGGGGACCTCTACCGGCTCCACCACGCTTAGAGAGTGGAAAATATCGGACCTCTATCGTGCCTGGTGGATGAGGGAACGGGGACTTCTACCGCGTTCAGAGAAAGGAGATATGGGACCTCTACCGCAGCTTGGGATTGGGGAAAATAGCATCCGTCGAGAGTGGTGTATAATGTGGGCTCCTGTAGTGTCTTTCCACCCATTCCATCCACCAAAACCTGCATGTTGTTCACATTGTGCGATCAGTGCGACCTCTGTCGCACGCTGTGGAAACACCTTCCGCAGATCCCACTTCAGTCACTTGGCTTGACTGCTACGCTGCTAATTCCAAACAGCTTGTGCACTGCCATTTATCGTTCATATTTCATAAAACGACAATCTACACTGAACTATCAGCTCTCGAACTTCTCAACGACGACGCATGTATATCACATAAACGCTGTTCGATTCAAATTGAAAACGAAATAAAATTAGAGTTGATCTTGAATTTGACAGTGAAACATTACGACTCTACCGTGGTAACACCATTTTCTTTTTGCTCTCTGTTGTGTAGTGAGGCGGCCAAATTCCCGTACACGTGTCTACTGCGACACACCTACGAAGGGAACAACATTCCCGAGGCGGTGGATATCTGCAACTGCCTGGACTCCTGGCTCGGCCTGCTGGATGTGAGTACAGCCTGCTCGTTTGTTCGTGGTTTATAATTGCTCCTGCTGCAAAAACTGCGGTTCATTGATTTTGTTTCAAAATGGTGGTTTACTTGGTTCGTGAAAGCGACTACTTGCTATCTGCTAAGTTTATTGCGTTTGCATTTGCTTCTAAAAAAGAATGCTTACTTCAGCCTGCAGTCACTCATAATTTTTTTCCAGACATGTGTCTATGTGCTTCATTAGATCACATGGAACAAACTCTGCGATACCGTTGCCCAGTATCAGTCGGGTGTTGCTACTGCTATGCCCCTGTGAGCTCGTTCTCCATTCACATCTGACATAACCTTCCCCCGTCGTGTCCAGGAGAGCCAGAAGTCCCGGCCCGACCCGTACTCTGTGCTGGGTCGCTGGCGAACGCCGCCCACCTGGTCACACCTGTTCGGCCCGGCTCCCGACGCGTCGCTCTACTGAGGCGGGGTCGCGGGGTACATGGGTCTTGGCATCGCTCCTCCAGCCGCCCCGCGTAAAGCCAGGTAGGGCGGGGGAGTGTCACTTGGCTGGACTGGCTACTCTGCGCGTACGGGCGCTACTATGTTTCATCTGTCAGTGCTGCAAGTAAAGATGGTATGAAGGTTTGCTGATGTTTTCTATCATGGTTTGTGAGCGGGAACTGAAAACGGTTATGCACTTTGAGCTGATTAGCTTTGAAAGACTTACGTCTTATCGTATTTTGTCATTTGTTCCAGTAACTGTGTTCGGTGAGAACCTGAACTGTGATGCGATAACCTGTAATGGTGGTGTCAGCTCGTGTGAATCGAAATGATGTGATACCCGGGTGGTACCTCTCCATTACGAATATGAGCCATGGGCTGCTACTGTCCAAACTCCAAATACAACAAACACCAGCGAGTTGTGATATATGTACTGGTATACCACGAGTGTAAGTGTATTTCCATTAACGATGGACATAAATACACTAGTCACAGCCAGACTATCCACCGGTAAAATCCCTGCGAAAAGTAGCGACGAGACCATCCAATAACAGCAGTCGAAAATTGCAGAGGCCAGTACCATGAAGGCACGCTAGGAACGCTCATTTGCGGCAACATGCGAAGACAACCGCCTAGACATTCTCCCTTGTCGCAACCACAGTTATAAATGGTATCATTATTGTCTTATATGGAACGGGAAACGTATGAGGGTGATTCTGATTCTTGATGTCTCCCTGATGTCGGCCTCCCATTGCGTGCCTATCCTGCTAGAATTGACGGTCGTGCTTTGCTGAATCTTGTCTATTCCGCCTAAGCACCGCCATAGGCAATCTTAATCCCCCTTCGTATCATTGTATATCACTTCCCACATCACTGGTGTGCGCTCTGTGGTCCCCGTCAGCGTCGCTTTCACCATCCTTGTCAGTCGGCGTCTCACCCTCGCTGTGCGCCGCCCCTCCCGCCCCACCCTCCCCTCCCAGTCCCAGCTGTGTCAGTGTCTGTGTGACCGCAGCGACCAGCTGTTCTCGGTACCTCTCCAGGCTGTGGTCCGTCTCGGTGTACATGTAGTAGTTATTTCGGCACTCGGCACTCAGGTCCCGCGGACACTCTGCGCGGTAGTGGTGGAGCAGCGCCTGGGCTGGCACTATGCGTCCCTCGTGAGCGGTGTAGGGGTACAGCGGCGCCAGCGCGTAGTGGTTGAACACGGTGAGCGCGCCCCGCGTGCTGACGAACGCCTTGCTGCTGAAGCCGCGCCCGCTGATGTTGGCGCTCCGCTCCGTGTGCCGCAGCGCGTGGAAGTGCTCGGGCAGACCGGGGTCCGGCGTCTGCGTCAGGTTGTCGAAGAAGTAGACGTGCCGGACGGAGAGCGAGGCGAACCGCTGCAGCAGGTGCGGGTTCACCTCCAGGTGCTCGATCAGCTCGGCCCAGGTGCGGTACTGGCGCGGTACGAGCACCTCGTCCACGTCCAGCGGTACCACGAACCGGTACCGGTACAGACTGCGGTACAGGCAGTCGTTGTAGTGCACCAGCTCGAAGCGGCGCTTCTGCCAGACGGCGGCTCGCAGGTAGCGCCGCCGCGCCGGCGGATAGTTGGGCTGGAACCCCGGCAGGGTGGCGTTGACCACCGTGGCCACGCCCTGGGTCTCGTAGTGCTCCAGCACTTTGGACACCTCCGGTCCCGTGTCGTACCGATAAAACACGAACGCGTCGGCACCGATCAGCCTCAGCAGCTCGATCCACTCGACCAGCCGGCCCGCCCACTCGTCCCCCAGCTGTAACCCCTTCACACACACGGCGAACCCGTCCCGACGCCGCGAGCTCTGCCACTCGCGCAGCGGCGCCACATCCACGGCCAGGTCCGTGTCAGCGGCGGCGCACGGTGTCGGCGTCAGCGCCACAGACAGCGGCATCAGTCCGCCGCGCAGCGGGCACGACACCAACACCGGGTCGAACAGCTTTCCCGTGTTCTGCGGGTCCCAGCGGCTCTGCCAGATGAGCTGCTCCAGCGCCGGCACGCTCTCCGTGCCGTTCTCATAGCGCAGCTGGCAGTGCACCTGGCGTCCCGCGCTGTGCTGGTAGCCGTCCCTCATCGCTATCACCCGCACGTAAGCGAAGACGCGCCGCTTAGCCCGGAGTCTCCGGTCCGGGTAGGCCGCCAGCACGTACAGCGAGGTGTTGAACGGGTGCTGCCAGTGCTCGTTGTTGATGAACACGGGGAGCTGCTCGGGGCTGTCGCACGTCTCCCACTCTCTGCTGTAGAAGTCTCGCTGCAGGAGTCCTTCCAGTGTGTCGGGCTGGCCGGTGGGAGTGGGCGGCTGGGTGATGAACACCGGTCGCGGGCTGGCCCCGAAGAATGCGCTGGAGGACGTCCAGCGCAGGTAGAGGAGGATGGAGAGAGCGGTAGAGGCGGCCAGCAGCGCCAGGAGGCGGCGCGGCGTCAGGAGCCGGCCGCCCCCGCCCCCGCCCCCGCCGCGGCTGCCGGAGTCGGCTGACATGGGGCCGGCCGGCCGGCAGTGTCGGTGGCGGTGCTCTGTGGACCGTCACCGTGTCACGACAGTCGGTCCGAGCGCCATACTCCAGCCGGGTCGAAGGTCGGCCGCCTGTCGGAAAAAGGGTGTCCGGTTATCAGTGCTAGAGCACGTGCACTGTGTCCGCTCCTTACCGATGTAAACTGGATTGGGTGTTCTGCAATTCAATACACCCAAATATGTCGTCAAATTCCTATGGACCGACTGTTATGTGTATTCTTAGTAAATAGTCATTAAATGTTACCAGCCATGATACTTGTAGTCACACTTTTTAGGTAAGTGAATCATTAGTATGTGTGATTAAAGGGACCCTCCCACCTTAACATTAGATTTGAGTTGAGATAGCCAAAATGGGGTCCCTGGCTCACAATTACCGGTTTCGGCACTCACAACATCGAGAAATGCCTTAAATCGGAAATATTGAATTTCAAAATTGCAGCATTTTGATTCAGAGGGGCTAATGCTTAGGAATACCCCTCTGAATGTGTGACGTCAGCGCAGATATCTAACGATTTTTAAATGTTTGACTAAAACGTTTTGTAGCACGCGGTGGTATATGCTGCTTTGCGCGCAACAAATGCCACACTTTCAAATAAAGTCGCTATAGGAACAGCGGAGATCCCAAAAAGTAAACAAAAGTAAAAGTCTAATATCTTGAAAACCGGTGAATATTTTTCGATGAAATTTGGTAGATATTCGTTTTTGCTCTTTCTGAACCGAGCGACATCACTTTCATGCCAATTCATTAACTTTTTTGAAGGTGGGAGGGTCCCTTTAAAGGTAGTGTGCCAGCTTTCCTGGACCGTATGGAGTTAATGGCCCAGATAAGGAGAACCGGATTTTTAGAACTTATCCATACCTTCAAAACTCATGGAAACGTCTTAAATTCTTCAAATTTTGAGTACCCCAGTGCGAAATTCGCCCCGACGGGTTGTCGGTCGTACCCCAACCACATTTCACACCACTATGAACAATAAATGCACACACTGAAATCGCTATTACTGATAGGCTCATCCAATCAAGTTTCGATAAACCCGTTCATCATCATCTCCTGCGGTTTCGAACACGCCTGTTAGGTGGTGCGGTAGACCGCGCCCAAAGCCAGGGCCCCGGTAACGTGAGGTAGCCGAGTCGGGGCAGCGTGCGCTGACCCAAGCCGGGGCCGCGCGTCCTCCCGGTGTCATGTGATAGCCCGGGGCTGCCCGCGGGGATGCGGTAGACCGCGCCCAAAGCCGCGGCCCCGGCTTGGGTCAGCGCACGCTGCCCCGACTCGGCTACCTCACGTTACCGGGGCCCTGGCTTTGGGCGCGGTGGTGGTGCGTCGGGCCGCGCGCTCTGACTTCGGCCAAGAAAAATGCGTCAGCTGATCATTGTCATTTCTGCCACTTTCATGTGGTGAGATGGGGTCATAACTTTAGAGACGGCTGTTTCATATCAATTATTTTACATAAAATAATATTTCCAACCATAAATTAATGTTCGACAGCCAAATTAAAGAAACAATACCAATACAGGCTTACAGTTTAAATTCGACATTGTGTTGTCTACGATTAGACAGCTGATAACTCATTCCCGTACGTCGTAACGTGGTCGTAACTCTATAATGACCTTTGCTTATTGTCACATGTGCGCCGCATTCGTGATTGTTGCCGACGCCTGTTTACAGGTTAGCCCACTACAATTGTTATACGTATCGAAAAACCGATAAACTTTTAGGCGAAAAAAGCACTATTTTAGGCCCATTTTTGATTTTTTTTTGCAATATTAGGTAAAAACAGAAGCTTCTTATCCTAGGAAAAATAGAATGGGAAATCATCCAAAGGTGGCACACTACCTTTAAGCATAAGCGTAACTTTATATCTCTTTGTGGGTGCTCAAGCACCCCCAATCCTGAGCTCAGCACCCCCTGCCTTCTTAAAGCACCCCCAGCCTCCTCAAAACATTTCCAGCTGACTCAAGGCCCTCAATAATCAGAATGTCCATCTCCTAGTACTGTAATGAGCCCAGTGAATCATGCAAATACTATGCTTACTCAATTCAGTGACTAAGAGAATATATATTGAATAAATCACCACAAATTAAGATGCATGACATTTGTGTTAACATTACATCTGATATTATCAGGGGCCCGGGAACGATTTTCAAGTTGGGGGGGGGGGCGAGCCTAAAATACCTGACATGATGCATATGAAACAATGGCATAGCTAGGGGTCTAAGGGGACACGTACCCCCTCCCCCCATCGAGTTCAAAGGGACCCTCGGGTCCGAGAGGCCCTGCGGCGCCATTTGACCGCTGAGGGTTAACGATGGCCATATTTCTACTCAGAAGGGCCCCGTGGGGCTCGTTAGATTACCTCATGGGCCCTAAATAGCCACACTAAGGTCTCCATAAGGGCCCCACGCCGACTTCTGAGGGCCTCTTGCGGCTTTTAAGGACACCTCGGTGATCTCCAAAGGCCCGTTAAGCCTGAAACAGACTCTTTCCGCAGTCAAGATATCGCATGCGAGAGCCTATTCAAATACATGGAAGCAAGCTCGCATCTGAATCGCACGCACCTCCCGCGAGCGATTGATGCGAGAGGAATTACAATGTATTTGAATAGGCTCTCGCATGCGATTTCCTGAACGCGGAAAGAGTCTGCTTCAGCCTTTACTGGCCTCTGAGAGGTCTTACCGGCCTATGAGGGGACAGTTCTAGGGGCATTTCCCACCTGTGATGGTCCCACACTTATTTTTCTGAGGGCCCATAACGGCAACTATGGGGCCCTCGTCGGCGCCTATGAGGGCCCACACCGGTGTCTCTGAGGGTTTCACACCCCCAACTCCGAGTGCCTACACCAGTGCCTATTAAAGCCCTATATCGGCGGCTCTGAGGACCCACCCAACACCTGTGCATCTAAAGGCCACCCACTGATGACTTGAGGGCCCCACAACGGTGACCCTGAGGGCCCCACCGGCGTCTGACAGTACCATGCCGGTCTCTTAGGACCCCGCAGGACTTCTTCTGCCGGCCTAAGCCCTAAGGACCCCTAGCCGGCTTGTAGAGAGTTCGCGTCAGCAGCTCTAAAGGCCCCACACCCGTCTGTAACGGCTCTACACCAGCGTCTATGAGGGCCCGGAGCAACGCCTGTAAGGACCCTCATCGGCGCCTCTGAGAGAATCACACTAGCACCTCTGATCGCCCACACCGGCACCTGCATGGCGGCCCCACACCGGTGCCTCCCTTACCGGCGGCTCTGAGGGCCCTACGCCTGTGATTCTGAGGGTGCCACCGATAACTGAAGGCACCACACAAGCCCTTAGTGTAGCTGAGCTTTAATCCCATACCGGCCCTCCGAGGGCGCCACGTCATTGCACTCATTGCCCCACATCCCTCCCTCACACCCGGAGCGGGTAAACTGTGTTATACATACCTATAGCAACGATTTTACCACCGTTGTACGTTATGTATTTCTCAAAGTTGACTCAAAATGGTCCAGTACAAAATCTGGCCTGCCAAACTTATGGCCAAGGTCAGGCCCAAACACGTTTTGGGCAATCAGTCTCAGTCCATGACTCCATTCTTCGGCAACTATACGGTGAAAGGCCGATACTGTAGAAACTTGCAATTTGTACCCTTGAACTGACCTTGACCTTGACCTCAAACTTTTAATTAAGTACATGTTTTTAGTAATTCGTGATGAGATCTTTCGATTGGCGTTTGAATTTTCCTAATCGGACCATTAGTTCGGGAGATAACAGGGGGTAAAATTTATCCCCCCCCAGCCCCGCGCGTTCGGCTGGAGACCCCAGCCCCGCGCGGGTTAATGCATTGGGTGAGCCAAAATTGTTTTACAGTGGCGCTATTAAAACAAGCTCTCGAACCGATTTAACATCATTTCTTGCATGATGCCTGATGGCTAAAGTAAAAAAGAACAGCTAAAAAACTACAAAAACTATGGCATGCCTTTCTGAAAGCTATTGAGCACCCCCAATGATTTTTGGAAAACTACACCCATGCCTTTAAGGTTTAAAGCCGTTCAGATGTATCATGATTTGTGAAAGTTTTGTGCGTACGTAGGTACAATGCAACGAACATTTTAAGCAAACAGTCACTAGAGGCGGGAGGGAGCAAACGCCGCCAACCAGCCTCGCCCGTCTAGGTTCCATAGCCTCGGTCTACACACCAAAGGACCAATTATCCTCATTCTTACCACTTGACTGCGCCGGCTACCAGGACCGCTCCATCCTCAGAGCGCCGTGACCTTGAGCGGCGTAACACCCCACCGCGGCCTGCCCGTCTCCCCACGTGACACGCCCCGCACGGACAACACAGCTGCCGACTCTGACCCACGTGGCCGCTCGCGGGCCGCCACTGCACCCCACACCCCTGCCGAAACACTGTCGTACCCTGCCCATCCCGCCGCTGCACTCTCCACTCTCCAGTCGCGAACCGTCCCAGTCAAGATACCTATGTCCCAGTCGGCTGGCGACTCTCACCGGAGTTCTATAGCCTTGCTCTCACCCAGACACTTGCACCGCCTCAGGCAGTTTGGTGGTGCTGCCCCCTGTTGCGGAGTGAATGTACTAGAGCTTGGCCACTTCGTGAAGGAGTACGAGTACATGTAGCGCTCGCGTCGGGCCAACAACTCCGCTCGGTGGATGGCCTTGGCTCGGTGCTAGAATGACTATAATCATGGGTGTAACTTTGTATACTTTCGAGGTCCCATGTGGGACCCCAATGCGAACATTTGGGACCCCAATTGTCATTTTGGGACCCCAATAGTGGAGGCCCCCGAGACGCATCAGCTACTTTGCAAACGGAGGTCCGATATTCATATAAAAGGTTCTCTGTTTAAATAGGAGGCCCCTTGGACAAATCGGAGGCCCTGTTGGACAAATAGGAGGCCCCCTGAACAAGTAGGAGGCCCCCTGAACAAGTAGGAGACCCCCTGAACAAGTAGGAGGCCACCGGAAAACAGGAAGTCCCCTGGAGAAATAGGAGGCTCTCTGGACAAGTAGGAGGCCTCCTGGACAAATAGGAGGCCCTAGACAAATAAGAGGCCCCTAGACAAATAGTAAGCCCCATGGTCAAGTAGGAGGCCCTCTGTACAAATAGGAGGCCCCCCTGCAAAAATAGGAGGCCCCCTGGACAAATAGGAGGTCCTAGACCTAGACAAACAGGAGGCCCCTTTCACAAAAGGAGGCCCCTGGACAAATAGGAGGCCCCATGGACAAGTAGGAGGCCCTCTGTACGAATAGGAGGCCCCTGCAAAAATAGGAGGCCCCCTGGACAAACAGAAGGTCCTAGACCTAGACAAAAAGGAGGCCCCTTTCACAAAAGGAGGCCCCCTGGACAAATAGGAGGCCCCTTTCACAAAAGGAGGCCCCTGGACAATTAAGAGGCCCCCTGAACAAGGAGGCCCCCTGGATAAAGAGGAGGCCCCCTAAAAATAGGAGCCCTCTGGATAAATAGGAGGCCGCTTGGAAAATAAGAGGCTACTTTAACCAATAGGAGGCCCCTTGGACAAATAGGAGGCCCCCTGAACATGTAGGAGGCACGCTGGACAAATAGGAGGCCTCTTGGGCAGAGGCCCCCTAGAAAAATAACAGGTCCCTTGGACAAATAGGAGGCCCCCTGGACAAATAGGGGACCTCTTGAACAAATAGGAGGCTCCATGGACAAGTAGGAGCTAGAGGCTCTCTGTACGAATAGGAGGCCCCCCTGGACAAATAGAAGGCTCCCTTAACAAAAAGGAGTCCCTTCAAAAAAAAAGGAGGCCCCGGGACAAGTAGGAGACCCTTGGACAAATAGGAGGCCCCTGCACAAATATGAGACTCCTAGTCGAATAAAAGACCCCTGGATAAATAGGAGGCCCCTGGACAAATAGGAGGCCCCTGAACACGTAGGAGGCCCCCTAGATAAAGAGGAGGCCCCCTGGAAAATAGAAGCCCCCTGGATAAATAGGGGACCTTCTGGAGAAACAGAAGGCCTCCTGGACAAATAGGAGGTCCCATAGACGAATAGGAGGCCGCTTGGACAAATAGGAGGCGCCGTTAACCAATAGGAGGCCCCCTAGACAAACAGGAGGCCCTCTGTAACAGTAGGAGGCTCTCTGTACGTACAAGAGACCGGCGCTCGACCTGTAGAAGCTTAGCCGTATGTACGCTAGGAGGCTCTCTGTGCAAGTAGTCGAAGTAGGAGGCTCTCTGTACTGTACCTACAATTACAAATAAGAGGCCCCCTGGGTAACTTAGATGCAACACAAATCGGAGGTCACCTATAAAAAAGCGGGACTCTGTTGGAATACCTGATTTAATAAATTATTTTCCTGATATTCAAATTACTTAGGTAATCCTCGTCCGCACATGGGGGGGGGGGGGGCAGTGGTTGCCACACCCCCCACCCCGACCTAGGTAGTTTTTTCTGCTCTGCACTAAACATTTTGATTGCTAGAAGTCGGATATTTCGTATAGCTGCTGCTCTATCCTTTTTTAGCGTCCACTGAAAATTTCAAGTTTCTGTGGTTTTTGGTTTCGGAGATATGACCTTATTCTTCAGGTAATGTCATAACCCAAATGACAAATACCCAATATCTTGCGTTGGCGTTGGGTCTTGTGAGCTTTTGACACCTTGATTTCGGCCTTTTTTGTCAGTCTTACCTCCCACCTATCATGGAACATGTTGTTCAATGATGTAGAGATGCCAGGGTCAGGGTCAAGGTCAACCTAGGTCGTCTAAAAATATTGCGTTTTAGGCAAGCTGAATTTACTTTCGTGAAGTTTCTTTGACTGTATTTTTGGCAAAAGCTTCTCAGTTCATGATCTCATGTAATATGGACACATTCACAGTCGGTGCACACATCAGTATACTCGTACACACAGACACACACAGACATACAAACACATGTCATTGACCTTGAGCTAACTTGACCTGAAATGACCACAGCCAGCAAAAACCTAGTCGGATAGTGTGACAAAGAGGTTCTAGCTGGCTTGGCACCACAATACGGCAGCGTCATCGGTACATGATGAGCAGCGCACGTGATATTCCAACGGGCAACGGTGACCCCAAACAGCAACATTCTTTAGTTTGACCTGACCTGGAAGGTCAATGACTGACCTGATGAGGTAAAATTGGTATCATTGGATTCGTCACTTCCCAAAGAATCTGTTGCTCTTGACCGCAAGGCTTAAAATCTTGTAAGAAAAAATTGTGGTGATGTCGAATAAGATACCTACACAAGCAGCGGGCCAACCCATCATATACCGATGACGCTGCCGTATTAGTGCCAAGCGAGCTAGAACAGCTCTTTGTCACACTATCCGACTAATTTGCTGGCTGTGGTCATTTCACGTCAAGTTAGGTCAAGGTCAATGATATGTGTTTGTATGTCTGTGTATGTCTGTGTATGTACTGATCAGGGATGCGGAGCCGGAGCCGGAGCCGGAGCCGGAGCCGCCGGAGCCGGCATATTTTGCCCGGAGCCGGAGCCGGAGCCGGAGCCGTGAAACAATGTAGCCCGGAGCCGGAGCCGGAGCCGGAGCCGTCAAAAAGGGGGCGACTCCGGCTCCTTTTCTTTAGAGGAAACAATTATTCACCTAGTTCGGTTTGACTAGGGACCGTCGAGGTCCTGGTCAGTGTTCTCTACCTTCAGTGTTCGCATATGTTACAGTGCGTCCGCGAAATCCGTGAGTTTGCGAATTTACTAGTTAATCCGCGAAATCCCTAGGGACTCCGCGAACTCACATAAACTCTCGTGAATCTGCGGAATCACTGCCGTGGCTCCGCGGATTCACTAGAGTTTCCAGTGCGTCCGTGAAGTCGCTGAAGAGTCGCGGGGATCTGTGAACTTCCTAGGTAATCCGCGGAATAGCGATTCCTTTTCAGTGAATCCGCGGAATACCGACTCCTTTTTTCAGAGAATGTCCAAAAAACATTATTTAGTTCTTATGCCGATTCGTAGAGGCTCAAAGACAATTGGAATCATGTTGCCGATATGGTGGTACTGTTGTGCGTTGGCCGCCGCTTTGCCAAATTCAGCGGCGCTGCGCGCCGCCGATCTTACGCTATCTGAAAAAAACTTAGGGGGTCGCATCGACCCCCCCCCCTGCCAGGGCAAGGGTTAAACTTTACTAATAACGCTAAGAACGTCACCAAACATAGAGGCCGTCAAAAAGTAGGCCATTTGGAGGCCCCCTCGATAGAGAAAAGGCCCCCTGGCAAGCGGAATACGGAGGAGGGTGCCCCTTTGAGCCCGGGCACCCTCCCCTGGAAAATCAGCTGGGTGCGCCCCTGTTGGCCGGAATGGCAATATCAGTCTATCGGAATAAAAACTTCGGGACATTTGATAAGTTTTATGTTACATTGCTACGTAGGTACCCTGCTAGCTTTCTGGTTAGGACCCTGCCAGAGACGCACCCCTGGTCGGATCGCACCCAGATTTACGGTCGTTCGATTTGACCAAGCTTGGTGCCTGCCAAATTTCACGCTCCTGCATGTGGCGCCGTTCCGGCGCAAGACACCCAGATGTGGATGACACTTTGCGATTGTTACGGACGTACAGACCGACAACTTCTCTTTTATAATAATCAATCTGTTAAATAATATTTTCTTAGATTATAAAAAAAATTGTGCGTCGCACACTTCCTCTTCAAACGTGGGTATTTGCTGTAAATAGTTAAGTAACTACCTGATTGGACCTCAAGCTCACAATTGCGAATGGTAGTTAACCCGCGCACTGACCGGAGGGGGGCGTATATTATGTCCGCCCCCTGAAAATTTTTCGTAAATAAGGAAAACAGCCGCGGCGTGTAACATCGCGAAATTTTGCATGACTATTCCCGCATCAATTTTACACATTGTGTGCAAATTTAAACCTCCTACCTTTCAAGGTCAAGTCACCAGGTCACTTCGAATAAACCTGACCTCAAGTCACTTTTTTGCAACTTTGTCACTGTGCCAGAGCTACAGTAGATGTCGGAGTCCTTTGACAGTTCCAGGATATAATTAGGTCATTGGTAGCAACAATTTGCTTATCTCGGAATTTCGATATCGATGACCCAAGGTCAGGTCAATTTCTTGACCTCATTATGACCTCCTCATACGATCAACCTTGACTACCTTGAGTCACCAAAGCTAGAATTGTAGCCAGATTGTGCACAGATGTTGACTGGTGTGTAGTCAGGTCAATGACCCAAGAAGTTGGGAAAATAGGGACCTCTTTAGAACTTCGTACAGTGAGGGTGTTATTTCGGGGTGTTAATCACGAGTTTCATGTTATTTTTGATCACAGACGATAGCTTCATGCAATACATGCCAGGTCGGGTTAGGTTAGGTCAGGTCAACCAATAGGCGTCCTGCCTGCTATTCAAAGTAGGCGTTGCCTACCACTGACTACTTCGTAAGATGTTACGAAGGCACCACAAATACTTTGTAAATGTTCAAATGGCTGTTAAATTCGAAATCAGCTCCTAAAACTTCTCTAGAAACAAGTAAAACTAAAAAAGTGAACCAAGGTCATCAAAGGTCATTGACCTTGACCTGACTTTAACGT